AGGAGCTGTGTGCTAGTATTTAATAAAATTAGTGGGTTGTAGCTGATATATCCAGTTGTCCTATACACGGATATTAGGAGCTGTGTGCTAGTATTTGATAAAATTAGTGGGTTGTAGCTGATATATCCAGATGTTCTATACACGGATATTAGGAGCTGTGTGCTAGTATTTGATAAAATTAGTGGGCTGTAGCTGATATATCCAGTTGTCCTATACACGGATATTAGGAGCTGTGTGCTAGTATTTAATAAAATTAGTGGGTTGTAGCTGATATATCTAAAATCAGCAGTTTTACTTACAATTGATTAATAATACTAATAGAAAGGCGAAAATCATAACAAAAGTTATTTTAAAACAGATGCTTTAACGTAAAATATTGAGTCGTATCTTTTCCACACGATTTAGTAAAACTAATGGGTATAATATATAAATAAACTGTGAACACTTTTGTATGGTATTGTACTAAGAATATATATACCATATGTTTGTATGGTGCTGTATGTGGTTAATCCTGAACAAATCAGTCAAACAGCAGTTGTAGACTATGTATATTTATTTCATAAAAGTTGGTAACAGAAAATTTGGACACTGCAGTCATCACACAATTTCATTAAATATCTTTCATGTAGCGCTACTTTTGCATAAATATATCCTGAGGTTTAACAAAACATATATTTATTCTCCAAATCAACACACAACACAAATGAGGTAAGACTTTTCTTCCTTGAAACAAGCTTTAGAAACTTTAACCAAAACTTTTATGTTCAATGGGTGCATTCTAACAATACTATACCACAATTTGAAAGGCTTTGTTGAACATTAATAATTCTTAAGCCTAAACTCAGTGATAAAAATGTTAGGTCTATTTATTTCATTGCTTTGTTAGCTCTAAGCGTGTAATATTATAACTGTGCAAAAAACTGGTTAAAATCAATTATATTCAAGCATTGTGTCTGTATTTCTTTCAACCAGTTATTTGTATTGTAATCATGCTATCACTGTACTTCATTTTAGAGGCTTTGGGCGCCATTACCCGAGCTCTCGTTACAGATCACGTGACCTAAAAGGAACTATAATGATTATACACAATAAGGTTCTTTTCAACTACCAACCAAAACGATAGGTTTACGGATTTCACGAGTTATAATAATATAAATACAAAGTTTTGAGCTCCGTGTTCTTGAAAAGACAAATGTTTCAGCTTTTTGATATCGTTAAGGTTTGAAATCTAATAAACCTTAGATACGATTGTGAAGGTAAGTCCGTTATAGTTTGAAACAACTTTATCTGTCAAACCTGGTCTTAAGGCATTTAAATCGGTGATCGCGGCTTCAAAATACTAGTCGAAAATCTTGTGATACATTCATGTTTGCAGAAATAAGACATCACCAAAACACCTAATGACTGACTAACCCCCATTATAAAATATTGTTCAGCAGAGTCATTAAAACTAATGCGAAAGAACTGGTTGTGTATTATGTGAACTTGCAAAATGGTTTTCCAGTTGTAGTGAACACTGAAAAGTTAAGAAAGATAGAAAAAAAATGTACATTTTATGTAAACACTATTATTAGACATGAAATATTAAACAAAGCCAGCAACTTGCAGGCTCTGCTGAAGAAATATAAAACGAACTTTTAAGTAGAACACGCAACTTTTAACTGTCTGGCGAAAACACCGTCGTTGGTAGAAACGAATTCTGCTCTCACTTCGAGCATAAAAAATATCAACTAATACACAGTTAACAACACTAAACAATTATCGCTTGACAAATCAGTACTGAAATTCTCTGAACTTAACGTTTTACCGTTAGATGTCTCTAGAGTCAGTAAAGCTACACATGAAACACTGTACTAATCATATTTTTCAAAGGTATGTATTTATAACATTAAATACAAACTAAGCAAAGTTTCGACTTCATTTGTATTATACGTTTGTTCGAAATTTCAAAAATAAGTTTACTAATAATCAATCACTATCGTATAGTTCCATTCAGCCATAAAGTGACCCTAATTTTGACAGCATGTCGTATCTTTGAAGAAACCAGTAAACCAATTCTGACAACCTTCCATACAATTTTAATTCCTGCACACAAGTCTTCTTTACCTCATATGTTAATCGCAAAAAAAAAAATGACTAAATTCCTTTCTTCTCTAGTTTATACAATTTTATGTCTGTATGATAACCTTACATTGGTTAACACTAACGTACAAAATATTGTTGATAACAATAATAAACCTATATAGACTAGCGACACTTTAAAACACATCCCAACAATACATGGCATTTGTAACAAAAAAAATGTAATTCAGTTGCTTTACCAAAATATGTAAAAAAATAAGCCTACGGAATTCCATGAACGAAAGGCACAACTTCTCTTAATAGATCGATTCTGTGCCTTGAAAGTTTAAGAGGGATGTAATGGTTATTAATACAAAACGAATTATAGTTGTCAGAGTAATCTTAACATACTTGTATATCTACATTAAAAATTAGACATACATATACAACAAGATCATCTCCACAACCAAACAACAAGATCATCTCAACCTTTTCTATCCTTACAAATATGTTACACACACGTGATCCAGTTTATCAAGTTGCTCTGAATAACATACCAAAGTCTCACGTTGAAATACTGTTTACGTCATGACCTTGATAATAACTACAAGAGAAGGATTAGCCCTAATATTGGAGAGATTCAATGTCTTTAATTAGCTCGGGATAACGACTTTGTTCACCAGTCGGTTGTGTATGAAAAATAAGTTTTGTACAACGTATGTAAGATTATATTATCTGTTAAAATATTGTTTTTAGATTTATATACGCCTAAGCGTAACCAGCTTGAGAATAACTATTTTTTTGTGTTTAAGTATAATGTGTTTTGTGGAAATTTTTAGTTTCTTGTTTGTTTTAGATGAAGAAATTGACGTGGTGTCAGTAGAGACAGTTCCACAGTTGACCACACCTAGCTATCCTCCAAGGAGATTGGCCTGTGGAATCAGGAAGGGGCGGCTAGTGCTAACCACCCAGCCGGTAACGCGTCTAACTTCTTCGGACTCCAATAGTAGCGATACCGGATTTTCGGGTAATTTAGTGGTTCCTGTGAAATCAAAGAAAAAGTTACGTGTTAATGGTGCCGTAGTCCGGTGTTCTGGTGCGATGTCCAGGCCAAATTTACCTAGCCGGTCATCTTCGGATTCCGAAGACCCCGTAAGACGAAAAGAGCACAACAGCATGGAGAGAAAGCGAAGAGACGAGCTCAGGTCAGCTTTTCAGACTCTTCGCGAACAAGTTCCTGACCTCTGCGATAACCCCAAGGCCGCAAAAGTTGTCATTTTAAAACGAGCAGCGGCGTGTGCGAACCAACTCACCAACAGTGGTGAACAACTTGAAAAGACTGTACAAGCTTTAACTCGTAAAAGGAACGACCTACAGAGAAAACTACAACAATTACAGAGAAACAGTTTATGTAGATAAAAATGATTAGTTATATTGGACCACTTGTGTCTTAAAATATTTGTAAGGATAGAAAAGGTTGAGACGACCTTGTTGTTTGGTTGTGGGCCTTTCGCGTGTTAAAGCACGAGTAACGTCTTTTTGAAACCACAGGTCCCGATTCTTGTAATTTGTGGTGGCGACTTTTTAGATCTTCGATCAATTCTTACAGTCCCGGCCCGTCTGACAAATTGAGAAAATAATACTACTGTCCCTAGGTCAAATTAATTCTGTCATCACTACCACTTTCCCGCAACAATGGCTCCTAGATCGTCTGGTTAATACAACAAAACTCTACAAATTCCAAACACGATCCCCCAGGGGCTCAGTGGTGTGGACTTGTACGCTGGTTTCGATACCCGTGGTGGGCACAGCACAGATAGTCCATTGTGTATCTTCGTGCTTAACTACAAACAGTCCAAACAAAAGCGTGCCACAAATACTGCGATGTCTACTTCACTCCTCGTAGCCAAGCGTGTGTTTGCAAAAATAAAAAATTAGGTGTTTAGGATTTCGTTTCAACCTATTGTCATTGTTTTACTAAAATAACTGTGTTAATTACGTTTGCCTTTTATACACGTTCGCTTCGTGTTTGCTTTAGTTTGGAACAGTACACGCGCTAATGTCATTTCATAGTATTACCAATTGCCGATAGATGGCAGGACAAACACGTTCTACCATTTTTAAAATCTTACTTCTTTAGGACTCATCTCGCAATATATGCTTGTATTCCAATCATACAATTACCAATTGATATTTAAGCATACTAACATGTAATGAGGAATCCATACATAAATGTTAAATAAATTATTAGATTTTTTATGTTACCTACCGATTTTTCTATTGAACAAGTTAGAAAACCAGATATTAGTGCGAATTTTTTTGTAGTTCATCGTCTATATTTATTTTTCAATCTACAGTATCAAAATAGAAAAAACACCTTGTAAGAAATATTGTACTCGCTATCCTGTACTATTATTACTAGTTCATGGTGCCGCTTCTCGTATAGACTCGCAATCTGAGGGTCGCGGGTTCGAATCCTCTTCCCACCAAACATGCTCGCCCCTTTTAGCCGTGGGGGCGTTATAATGTGACGGTCAATCCCACTATTCGTTGGTGATGACTAGCTGCCTTCTCTCGTCTTACACTGCTAAATTAGGGACGGCTAGCGCAGATAGCCCTCGTGTTGCTTGGCGCGAAATTAAAAAAACAACAAAAACAAAACTTCTCGTATAACTTATGCTGATAATCAAAACATGGGAAAAATTTAAATTTTGTGTTACATTTAAAGATATTGTACTAGAGTAACACGCGGATTTTTAATTTTTCGTTTAAATTAATGCAAGCACTACGGGTGTCCAATATTGCATCATCTTTCAACACCTAGTTACTGGTGACGCAACAATGCGGAGATTAACGGTATCACATACTCAAAAAAAAAGCAAACACCATTATCGTTTGCCGCCAAGATTCTTCGCGCCATAACTTTTTACGCTGTTAAATTAAATAAAATGTATACTGAAAGTTTCTTAATGCCTATATTTTAAATAATATAAGGGCCGATCATTTTTATTTCAGTTTATTAACTTACACTGTAAGAATTATTGTTCGATATTGTCAAAATAGTTCAAATCGTAGATGTAACTTTATAGAAAATATTACCTGAATCAGATAAGACATCAAAGCTTTCCTGGCTAGTTTTCACATTTCTGGATGAAGTTGGTGTGTCTTTCACGGATTGAAAATAGCTGTGGTCAGTTAAAAAAGGTCCTGCATTACACGGTAATACTGAAGAGGGATCAATACAGTTTCTTGGCACTTCTTCCAGTGGGGTTAAAGGTCGAGTCGTTTGTCCAGTTGTAGATATTTTCGCGCGATCCACAGTGGTTGCAGGTGAAATACTCTTGACACTGAGATCGTTTTTTTTACAACAATTTTCTGAACAGCGACCTGACCACATGCAATCATGGCGTAGTTCAGTTTTTAAACCTTCTCTTATTAACGTAACTTCACTAGAGTGTGGTCCTGTCCATGAACCACCACCAAATTCTTCTTCAAGACACAATGATTGCTCGCATTTCATTGGAAGGTCAGTTTCATAGCTAACTTCATTGTCTGGGGATAGAGGGGGGGTTAAAAGGTCAAATTTTTTCCAGATATCTTCGCTGGGTGTTGACGTTTTATAAAATTCTTCAGTTTCCGCAGAAAAACAAGAAAGGTCGTCCTCGAGGAGGGTCGAAATGCCCTTAATCGTATCCAAGATAGACGGCATATTTGGTCACATTCGCATGTTTTGAGTCAAAACAATCTATAGGAAAAAAAAGAAGGAAAGGCATTAATTACTTTCTTTCACAAGCCAAACAAACAAACTATACAACATTAAAATTCGAATATTTTTCACCAAATAATCAACATGGAGTTAATTCTAAGAACACTTGACTAAAGACTTCAGAAAATTATTAATCTATTTGTAAACTGTGCTCTGCACATACTTATATTAAGATGAATAACTTATGTAATGAAAGCAGTTGGCCTAAAAAATGTCGCGAGTGATTTTTGAGTGTTGAATATGACGTCACAAAAAGGATTCTACTATGAAATTATAACTTAGGGCCTTTGGAACTTTTTATTAAAAGCTAAAACCTTATGACAAAATCCACCCTCTTCCCCCTCAAAAAAAAAAAAGTTTCGCATATGGAGACATTGCTGTCACAGTGACATGTTTAATATGAAACATGCCAATTTAAAGTATACTGGAAGGGATGTGATATAACGGTAACAATGGCATTAAACAGGCAAGGACAGTATAAAAACTGGTTATCAAAAGTAGTTTGAACCAAAGTAACAACTTAAAACTTGCCAAATCATTTCCTTATATTATTAAAGGTTTTCTCGGGAGCCTACAGCGCTTGTACAGTTATCAACCAATAATGAATAAGGATTACCAAAATGTTAATAATAGTATTATTTTACTTGTATGCCGTAAATAAAAGCAAAAATAAAGTTATATATACCAATTTTATTACACACATAATTGTGTGTATACAAGTATTATAACGTAATCATAGGGAAGTATTACTCTAGTTTACTCACTCTTGAAAAACGTAACCGTTAAACAAAATCACAAACGAAGACTATGGAGATTTAAACCGCGCCTTAGCCCTAAGGTTAAACTGCGAGACAAGTCCCGCCAGGTGAATATATTTAACCTGTTCTTCATGTTCCTTTTACCATCAAAGTTGTAAAATATTAGAAAGGAGGACAATAACTGTATACAATTACACACAAACCCCTTCATTATATAGTGTTCACTATGCAAGCCTAATATTATTAGTATTAAAGTACTGATGCTACACCTACTTCAAATATAGTGTATCCTACGCGTCATGTATCATCCTGAACACGTTCACCGGCCGGCAAAATGTTGTCACGTGTCGTAGTTGACAGCATTTTAAATACAATATTACACTCTACGGGAAAAAAATATACTTAATAAAGGATATATAGAGAAAGACTTACCTTATTTCTATAGTTTAGTGAAGTCAGTTTTTGTAGACTTTTCAGAAAATACTGAACAGTTACGAACGTTCAAACAGACAAAATCTCCCCGACTACTTCCTACATTACTCTATAAACTCCAACTGCATTGCTTCACCAGGTTGCAACGTACTAAAGGATTTCTCTGCGGAAAATGTATCCTTACGCGCGCGCGCTCAACGAAATAGATATACGATATATTTTAACTTAAAACGTATATTTTGGTTATAGTACTTTTGTGTTTTATAGTATAAGAATAATTATATAGCTTGTATGTCAATAGTTACCACATTACTTAGCAGTATTTAAGAACTATTTATTACTATCGTAGTTACATAAAGCTGCATTGCAAATATACGGTCGCGTACGCGCGAAACCAACTGTCGATTCACTGTCGAAACACGTGCTCTTTTACGAGAATGGCTGAGTAAGGGTAGTTTCCGAAAATTTATATAGTGTAGGTAGCGCGGTTGGGTTACTTGAGGTGAAAACAGGTTTCTCGTATTTCATAGATACTTTTATCTTTGGTGCCTCTTTTTGATCATTCAACTAAGCCTTCTAAAAATACTGTTACTGGAAGTAAAGAAAATACACAAAGTTGT